ACCTCTCACCCAGCGATGGGAAGAATTTACCCATCGATGGGTAGGTGACCGTTGGCTTCAAAACTGAAGGAAAATTGGCTTACCAGCGATGGGTAAGTTCCAAACATCGATGGGAAGCCAATATCCTGCAGATCCCAAATTTATTCAATCCCATAAATCAAGCCAATCACCCCTTTAATGCATTGGTCCGTTGGAGCCTATTTTGGCACTATAAAAAGGGGTGTTTGGGTCTGCTTTTCTCACCAATTCACTTCACAACATTCATACTTTCATTGCATTCAAATATCATCACTTTCCATAGCTTTCTAAAGCCATTTTGTGTGAAGGTTGAGTTGTTCTTGAGCGTACTTAGTTTACTCATAATCTACTCTATAAGAGAGTCTCGTTCTTGAGTGTATTCATGTTCTTAGACACTTTGAGAGAAATTATTTCTCTCGGTAGATTCAAAGGAAGGGCTATTTCCTTTGAAGGATTCGTTGAGGTTCGTGTGACTCGAACTCTCAAGTGGTAACGGTTTGTTAAGCACCCGCAAGCTTAACGAGATAGTAGTGTAGCTCGAGAGAGTCTCTCGGGAGGCTGGATTAGCCACAAGTTGTGGTGAACCTGGGTAAAATTCGGTGTGCCTCTTACTCTTCTCTTTACTTCTCTTTTGATTTTTTAAATCCTGCGATTTCTACGATCAAACGCTATTCACCCCCCCTCTAGCGTTGGTCTTTTATTCTAACACATACAAACAGATTCTGAGTGAAACTGGTCAACGGGGCTCGTTCTACAAACTACCCAGAAAACTGCCCGCGGAACGGTCGACCGTACCCTACCAGCGGTCGACCGTGGGCTACGTTGTGGAGGACTGAAATGCCGGCGGTCCACCGTGGTCTTCCGTCGTGGCCGGCGGTCGACCGTCACGGAGACAGTCCGCTGTCCCATGCTTCGTTTTGATCCTTTTTGCTAATTTAACACTTAGATTCTTTTTGGAACAATAATATAAACATTAATGAATATATTCCTAGTGATTCCTAGGTCAATATATAGAAGTTTTCATAGTGAACGTTTTGATGGCTAACCTACGAACATGCATAGATTCTACGTAGGTTGCGTACGATATTCCTATGAATATAACGACATAGATTATAACTTGAAGTTCTAGAATTAGAGGTGACAACTACTCACTTCTAAATGAAGGGGTTGATGAATCGATGAAACGAAATGAACGAATGGTTGACAACGTTGAACGACGAATGGTTTCTCGTGGACACCTCCTCTTCTTCCTCATCGTCTACTCGCCGGAAACACCTCTTGGGCTACTGTGGTTGGCCGAAAATGCAATGGGAGAGGAAGAGGGTGGAGTGTGTGAGGGGAGTTACAAATGATGAAGAGAAATGAAGAGGGAAGGAGCTATTATATTGAGTGAATAATGGTGGGGATTAATGGGGTAATTTAATGAAAATTGATGGAGTATTAAGGTGAGGAAAATGAAGGGGTGTGTGTGGCGCGGGTTTGGATGGGGGTTACATATATTTACTTTACTCCGTTATGTTAATATCTGACATAAACGGAACACGCTTTCCCCCCCCGAACGGGTCCGAATTGAGATCCGTTTGCATTTTCGGAAATAAACAGTCAAAACTAAATTTATGATATCTTCAAAATATTTTTCTCAAAACTTTATTTTCAAACTTCCGGTTCCATCCCAATCATTAATTAATTTATTTGAGTAATTAATGTTGAGAGACCCGTTATTTAATACATCTTTTTATATTAAAATACATTAGCTTTGGAAAGCCATTTAAAGAGATCGAAATCTCATTATTTATCAATTTAAAATAATGAGTCTCAATAAATAAATAATATTTATTTATTTAAAACTAGGCCGGTTTGAGGGCGTTACAACTAACCCTAATCTCTAACCCTGATGACAAATCCAAATTATATCGTACATCTGATTGTACAAAATTTTCGGTACAACCGGCTAATTGAAAAAGGAATAAGATGAATCGGAAGCCGCCGAAATTTCTACTGCTCCTCTATTTGCCGGGTCGGGCCATCGGAGACGAAATACGATGGAGCAGCGAAGACGGAAGACGATGGAGCAGCGAAGATGACAAAGAGCAATGGTGGCGAAAATCCGATGAAAACAATGGAGAAGGAAGACCTAAGGAGCATTGAAGGTGGCAGCGGCTTACTGATTGAGGTTGCGGGTCGAGTCTCTTAGATCAAGGAAGAAAGCCGCGGTAGACGGGAGGAGAGGCGGGGATGAAAACCCTAGTTTTAGAGAAAAGGTTATTTATGGTATGTGTTTTATTTTATTTGAGAATGAGCATTAAGTTATTTGAGAATGAGTGCTATTTTTATTTAGAATGAACACTACGTTATTTGTGGATAAATATTATAATTGAATTGAATAAATGTGTGAAAATGAGTACTACATTATTTTGAATGAGTGCTACGTTATTTTAGAATGATTATCACACTTTTTTCAAAATGAATAGTAATATTTGTGCAACAATGAGTACTACTTTAATTTGATTTGAGTACTAACCGGATGTACCTATCTCTATGTAGGTCTGGTTGTTCCATATACCTAGGATGACAAACGGACCTTATACGGAGTATAAACCATAGTTTTCAGAACTATACCGGTGACCGAACCGGTCAAGGTACTGGTTCATTGGTTCACTGGTCGAACCAGTGGTTCAACTGGTCGAACCGGTGGTTTAAACATATTTAAAAATTATATAAATATAAATAAATAATTATGTATATGTATGTGTGTATGTATATTTATACGTATGTGCATATATACACACACACCCACATACATACATACATACATACATACATACATATAGACACACACACATTCTCATTTATAAATATCTAAAGAAAGTAATTTGTAACATTTAAGTAATATTATATTAATATACTTGAGTTATTTTACTAACTTAAAAAATAAAATTTACATATTAAAAAAATATAAAAGAATTTTAAATGAAGAGTTGATTTTATTTTTTTCAAATAATTGTTTAATATTAAAAAACATGAAGTCTTTGCATGATTTACCTTTTATAAAAGTATCAATAATGTCAATGATTTTATATTTGACTTATAGCTATATAATATTATACTTATAAAATTAAAAAGGGATTTATATACAATCTTTTTTGTAATTATGAAATATTATAAAAGATTATGTAGACTTGTAACAAAAAGCATCATTCCTTGGATGTTTAGGAGTTCAACCAAATGTTTAAGAGGTCTTGGGTTCAACCCTCCACGGAAGCATGTTTTGGAAAAAATCAGCAAAAAAAAAAAAAAAAAAAAAAAAAAAAACGGGGCAGACAGGTCTGACCGGCCGGTTCTTGCCAGTTCAAATCGGTTCGGGCCGGTTCAAAGTAGGTAACGGTCCAATGGGCCGGACCGGACCGGTTGGACCACCGGTTCGCCGGTTCACGGTCCGAACCGGCCGGTTCGGTCCGGTTTTTAAAATTATGGTATAAACACAGCGTTGGAGTCATCTTTTCTTATTACGAATCCCCACTATCCCAAGCAACTCTAGGAATCAAGATACATTTAGGGGGCATTTGGTTCATGCTG